CATTATGTCAAGGTGTAGTATTAGGTCAAAACCTCATGGAAATGTCACACTAAAAGTGACTTGCGTCAGTGATTAATTTTACTTCTCTTGGTCTTCACTGTTTAGGCCTGACACATACGCTCTAGAGGTGCATACCATCTCGTTTCACCCTGTGTGAAAATCAAAACGCTGTACAGGGATCTCGGTATGCCTAAAATGAATACCCATGTGTCGTTAAGTTAAACATTTGATGTAGAAATAGCACTGATTTTATTAATTATAAACCAGTTTGAGGTGTCATAGTAGTGTTCATTTTTATTTTTACTGGGAAAGCAAATTATAAGTTATAAGTTTAAGATGTTTTATCAAGTCTATAACATAGTATAATGTATACTTTAAACTATATAAATATGTTATAATAATAGTAATTATATATTAACAATCTTAGGATATATTAGGTTTAAGCAACGTTTGAAGAAATTATATCAAGAAGTAAGCATTTTTCTAAATCCAATGTTAATTAATTCAATTTGTCTTGTTAATTATTTGTTATGCAAGGTACCATCAACAATTGATTGTGATTTTATAGAATTTTAATTTTTTCAATAAATTGTAGTTATTATCTATATGCATAAATAATTGAAATAATGCGAAAAGGAAATATTGGTAATTTGGTACCGCATTCACGATAAGCTGCTAAAGATGAGAATACGTGGCACTCGAATTCGCAGACAACTGATATCTGGAATAATTATGATGAGTTTCTTTCCACTTTGTTACCTGCAACGATCGTTAGGAAAACTATCTCAGACCACACAGAACCAAATCAAAGAAAGTTATTAATATTATAATGTATATTTCAAATAGAAACCATGACCGTGATATATGGGAAATTCTCTCTGAAGAACGTATTGTTGATGGTACCTAGTATAATCAATTGGAATCAATTTCTGCAGAATATATTCAATTCGGCTATGATTGCTTTAATGAAATTCTCGTTAGAAGCATTAATGCAATTCCTTCTCTGGTGCCGTGGTTATGATCATGAGGCAGTCATCTAACCATAACGGCTCGTCGCTACATCAAAGGCGCCGACGGTCGTATACATCAACCCAAACAAGGGTTCCTACACGACCATGCACTCGACACTATAAAATTTCCTATCATGAGTTTTTTAAAAAGAAAGTTAAAGGAGAAAATTTTACCATCAGTCACAATTTATGGGACTAGATCAGCCATTGGGCGTGTCGCGTGCCCCGGTACAATCCTATAAAAGCTAATAAATATATAGTAATAACTCCCAAACTTGCCGTTAGATTAAAGATGACGTTTTATTGATTCCGATTAAAAATCCAGCTGCAAATAAATAAATTCTAGAAATCGAAAACTTTGTAGGGTAAACGTATTTTTACTTTATTCTAAAGTATTTTTATTTTAGTCAAGGGAATATAATTACATATTGACAATAAGCATGTCTGATTTTAATCTTGTGATTTGCGGTTTAACATCATCAGATCAGTGACAAGTCTAGCAATGAGTTTCTGACTTGAATGTAATGATGGCTTGGCCACATTCTAATACCTGTTTGATGTCAGCAGTTAGTATTCGCTTATGTGAAGTTAACTGTGTTATAGGACGCTGTCACATAGCTTATCATCCGCTCATTAGTGTCTACATCCCATCTCGACTTGTCACATATAGTCACATTTGACTCAAATCAAAGTGGCAAGTATTAAAAAAGTTGAGCTGAATTTGACAACGCTGATCACCGAGACTTCAAGTTTCGTTTGAAGTTAGAACTTGAGGTTTCCTTCAGTGACTTTCGTTGTATTTCGGCTAAATAGTGTATGTTTAGTAGGCTGACGGAAGACATTGTTGCTACCCTTATCCATCAAATTTCCTGACATTCGCATGGGTGGGCCGGCTCTCTTTTTAGACTTTTTTATTTCTACAAAGTAATGTATATCAGAAATATAAAGAAAATAATCTCCGTGAAAATCAGTCGCATCTGTCAAAGGGAATTATAACAGGAGCCCTAACATGACAGGGATATATCAAACAAAACTAAATTCGAGCTGCTTGTGGGAAAAAAGTTACTTTAGTACTGCTCTAGTCTTTCCATTTTGCTTCACGGCAGAAGTAAGTGACGATTGATAGTAATTTGAATATAATTAATTAAAATGCATCGATCCATTTAATTTTTATTCGTACAGTATATGATGGGGACACAGAAAACAAAGTTATAAAGATAAAAAACACCAATAGATTGAATCCTAAAATATGTTTTAAAATAGTGAATCAATTCAATCTTTCAATTATTTGCTGTAGTATATAGTGATCATTGTGGCCAAACTAACAAAAGTTATTTGTATCTTGTGATTAGGGTCAGTGTTGCCTTTTGTGTCGGCAGAAGCTAAATTGAATTCACTGTTAATTAATGAGGAATAACATACTTAGGGGATTGACACAGCTGTCTTGTAATGGTGTATCCATCTTTCAACGCTCGTTTAATTAAATGTTGGACACTGTCATCGTTGGCATCCTGACAGCTTATGCAACTACTGCCCCAGTCAACGCTGCTTTATCATGTCCAATCCCACTATTAATCTTTCAGGCATACCACCATGAATGAACAAATAAATTTTCTCCTATTAACAACTGAAATATGAATCAATTAATAATTATCATTATTAACAATGGAACATTAAGTTTGCTAATTGTCAAAATTGTTGAAAGAAGCTTTAGAGACCGCATCAGCATTTGCATTCGAATATCGGAAATTAAAATGTTGAATTTCAATTCGGGTGAAAAGTCATTTTTAGGATTGACACAAAGTCGACTGTTTTCCCATAGAGACAGATACTCTATCAAAATGATTAGGATTAATAACAAATTAAATTGACATCAAGCAAACGTATGTGTTTAAATTGCCTAATTAGTGGACCCATTTGGTATTGAGTGTCTCTCTGTTTCTAGATTTATTGCAGACATATGTCATACTATACCAAACATTTTTACTCACACTGGGGGACATTATCACCCACAAATTAGTCTGAACACTTACCACGATAACTAGATTACACGAGAGTGTGATAAGGAATATTCACACAAAAGATGCATTATATATTCCACGTAGGAACTTAATCTATATTGATTTTCTGGATTGTTGAAATTGCTTTCAAATCTTGCTGTTTTGTCACATTTTTCAGCCTTTTCATTTCGCGATTGAGCAATGGGTAAATATTTAAGACGCTTCGTTGTTCTGTTTTTATAACTTGTACTGTTGTCATCAAAGGGTTACATTGATCTAAATCATATTAATATACGAACCACGACTTTCTGTAAATAACTATCTTTTACAGGGGTTTGTTTTGTGATTCCATGAAAGAACAGAATAAATAGGAGTAGGCCAAGAAAAGGATTTTTGTCAGAAATGAATCCTTAAAAATGCCATTAATCTACCCACTTAGTAATTATATTTAAAGCTATACACACGAAACAATCAATAGAGGCACGTTCTAAAAAGGGTGTGAATAATTGCAGATAGATTAAAAACATATTTTGTAAATATTTGTATTTTAACATCGTGAATGAATTTTAAACTGTAGCAAAATTATGGGTTTGCGCTTAACCCCCTAAAGTGAAAGTGACATTAAAATATAATATCAGTGAAACATCGAATGCTTGCAAACACATGTTCAAAAGCTTTTAGGAAATTAATCATCATAATGAGATGGTGAGTTTGTGAAATATAATTTTTCATATTTTTCATCAAGTTGCAGTTATTAAGTTCAACATTAGTTTAACTTCGTTGAGAATAGACACTTAAAGGGTATATGTTTCACCAGGGGAAAATACAAACGCGCTCTTGTTCCAAAATTAGATTAATCCACCGTCATTAATGTTTGCCAGATTGTACAATTAAGAAAAATGATGATATTTAAGATGCATATACTCAATATGTAATGCTACTAATGGAGAATATGTCACGGCTCGAACCTGTAGAATGATAATACCCTATGTGTTTGCACTATACACGGGTTCCCATCTATTTAAAGACGATACCACTGTTATTACTGTCTATTTACCGTTTGTCAGAGAAACCAAAAGTTAGTTTAAAACGATTAATCAAACGGCCAAGTCTTTGTAAAAGAATCTGATTTATATTCGCGGAGATATATAAAAGATCAAAAGCAAGGGCACCGACTTTCAATTATCGTAGCCCTAAAATCAATCAGTCAAAAGTGAACCTCGTTTGATTGATGAATCCACTATTAATGAGACATAATCGTCACTATGGTTAAACTAAAGAATCCACTGTTATAAATTCTACTTAACAATACCAAAACTCCTCCAAATTGTTTAATTCATTATCATTTTATGTTTCTCATTATAACTCTCCGATGTTAAATTTACATAAATAGCCCAACCGCAGTTCTGTACTGGAAAAGTGCTTCCATGCTTCGTAGATAATGGTTTCAATTACTTTGCCATTAATTTAGAACCTAATGATCATTGTTAACTTTTGAAATATGGGGGGTGTATTTGAATATATTTTAGGTAGTGTACTCTGCAGTCTTCCTTGACATCGGTGATCAATTTAATTTAATTCGATGTTATCTCTCATATCGATTTAGCATATGATATCAAGAATATGATATCTATAACGGTTAAAAAATAGCGTAACTTTGTTAAATGATATACGCATGAGAATTAAGATTTATTGTGGTGTTTATTAGAGATCCAAATAAATATTTTTAAATGAGGATAATGTTGTCCTTCATTTTATTTATGCTTTCTCATGTATCCTTTTCCTGTTTATTGCTTTTTTCAGTATTTAGTCACTTGATAAAAAGTGTATATTATTGCGAATGTCGGATCTACCCGGCTGATCAATAAATTCTTGAGAAAAGGGCTATTTATAAAGTTTTGTGCACATTTCTTTAAAAATTTTACATCTTAATATTTCCTTTGTATTTTACGATTTCTATTTTACAAACCCTTCTTATCTCTACTTTCAGAAGGAAACAAGAAAGAGCTCAGTGGAATGTTTAACAAATCACATCCACCTAAAAAACGGAGGAAAGCCAGAACAGCTTTCACAAACCAACAAATATATGAACTTGAAAAACGATTCCTTTATCAAAAATACCTGACACCGGCAGACAGAGACGAGATTGCGTCAACCTTAGGACTCTCGAACGCCCAGGTTATCACGTGGTTTCAAAACAGACGCGCGAAATTAAAACGAGACCTGGAAGAGTTGAAAAATGATGTAACTAATGCAACAACAGTTGAAAGTCCGGGTGCGCAAAAGGAATTACTAGAAAGTATGGAGCATTTACAAGCAGTTAAGACAGGAATGAAAAAATAGTTTACTTGAGTATTTACTTGAGTAAATTATCAGACTATCAGTTGTGCTTCCAAAAAATTATTGTAGATAATGTCATATTTGAGAATGAGAAGGTTAAGCTACACGTTTATAAGTGACCTAGCTTGTACGTGAACGTGAAGTATTATGACTTGGGATTACTGTCCCATTTTCCATTGGTTTTATCAGGAACCTGATTGCAACTATTTTCTTATATACTCAATCGGGTAAGAAATTACTACGAATGAGGAAACTAATCCTTAATGGGCCATAATTTTACACGCTCACTGACAAGTTTCCTATCAAACGCATGGGCGTAGCCATGCATGAGGCAGGGGAGACAACTGACATGCCAAAATTTTACAGATAAATATCAACTCAGAGTTTTTTCAGTTCAAACTAGAAAACGATGTCTTTTGACAGTATTTCCCTTTCATTCAAAATTTCATTACCAATTTACTTACTTGCCTCCCATTTTTAGCTTCACCCATAAAAACGTGTAGCTTGAACTCCCTAATTTTTGGTGGTATTTACGCCAAAATAGTGTTTGTATGATTAAGACACATTGTTAAAGGCATTAAATGCAATTTATAGCACCTGAGGAATGACTCGCTAGTTTATGTCAAAATGTGCTTCTTTGCCAATTACTGGCGTTTGCGTCCTGCCAATATAATCACACATTTTCTACACTCCCCATCGTAAGTTCAGCAACTGAAAGTTTTCATTGGATAGCATATTAAAGACTGTCAATGATAAGTGATTCAAAATGAGCTTCCGGTTTCCAAACTTATGGAGGGCAGTGTATTTAAAGATGTATATAACTTATGGAGGGGAGTGTATATCACTATCCATATTTTGAAAGCCATGTGCGCATTCTTGCGCAAAGTCTAAAGAAAAATGGCGATGCAGTTTCAAAATGATTATGTAAGTGAATGCTGCAACTGACTAAGTTCTTCCAAACTCATTTTATTAAATCATAAATGTAAGCTGTAATTAATTGTAAAATATGCATATTAATTTATTGTACATATAAATCAACATTAATTGTAAATAAAATCTATGGATTACAAATTAATTGAAAACAATGACTTTTATTTGATTTTAATTGAATCACTGAGAAAGGGGTGAACGTAAACTCTAAAACAAGGTCAGTAACCTGTCTTCCACTGCGTGACATCAAATGAGATCTGAATGAGAAAGCACAACATATAAAAATCTTATTAACATATATAAAAATGAGATATCTTTCATGAACCATTTTATTTATTGTTTAGATTTCTAACGACATTTTCAAATAATATTTGAGATTTGAAAATAAAGACAAACGTACCAGAAATCAAATGTTATATTCATAATGAAAGGCACAAAGGGCAACATATCCAAACAAATATTCAATCATTACAGCAGTTTATAGCAGTAAACTACACAAATAAATAACCACAGGGCTTTCAAATGAGTATTCAACTTGGTGCCATGGTTTCAATAAGCACCAATTAGTAATACTTTGGTACCATTTAGGTTACGAAGCTAACCATGGCCAAGGAGCACATGATAACAAAGAGCAGAATATTAACTTAACATTCAAATATATACCCAAACCATGCACCAAAAAACCATCAGTTGATAAAATAAACACCCACAACAAATTCTTGTTCATGTGTGCGCAACGACCATAATTCCCAAAACAAGTAAGCCAATTCATAAGTACCATCTGTATATTAATTAATACTGATACGTCAACAGTGCAAGCCACAAAAGTCAAAGCAACACACCAATCTACGATGTCGATTAATCTCTGCATGCAGACTGAAAATTATCTAAAAAGTTTCTTTCATAGTTCCATTTCTTATACGAATACTTAGTTTTTTGATTTGGTCTATGTAGGGAAAGGTTCGTAATTTAGATGAATTGTATAGGTACGTATTGTTTCGTATTTTAAATGTTGCCATTTGTGATTTTTCATTAAAAGCGCTTAGATTGGGCAAGGTATAGACGATAATTCCTTTGACCCATTTCCAGGTTCAGATTTGACCACCAGTGTAAAGTGTAAAGACCACCTTGGGCCCATAGCTCTCACACAAAACAATTCAGAGCCCTAAAAATCACACTTGGGTAGGTATACCACAGTGAAGTATCAACGGACACGATATATTGACATCGTGTAATACTATCACTTGATTACTTAATCATCATAACACAATGACACCATATGGAAAATATCCTCTTGAACTTTGCAATTGTCAGATATTTGTTATAATTAATCCTGGCTTGAGGATCGTTCCCACCCTTCTCCGTAACAGGCTCACCTTCAGAATTGCTCGTGATTCAATTATAACTTCGCCACCAGCTCCCTTTCATCAACGAACAGCTAACAGTGGCAAAACATCAATTTAAGGTAAGTGATGAGATATCAGTGAACTAACTAATTAGTATAAGTAGAATATACCTTCACAAATGTTCTTTTTCTCATTTAGGAGTAAACTCTATTAGAGGACTATTTGTTAACATCGAGTCAAGGTGCAGACAGAACAATTTTGTTTATTGGCGCAGCGACTCTTAAGAACAACTGTTTTGCCAAGCGAGATAATTAAAGGAGTTTTAAGTAACAAAAGATGATATGTTTTGGAGAAGGATCTTCACTCGTGTTGTTAATCAGCGTCCGTACTTTTGACATATGCTGTAAGTGATCCGGCAATTAAACTTAACGGCTGGTACTTAGTTCGCGTTCATCTACACCGCACAACTACCGGGCATTTGTCAAAACGCTAATCCCTTCTATTTTTGTAATCGAGGACACTTTCGGGGTGGGTGGGAGATCTTAGTCTTGTTCCAAGACTATGGATGCCCACCCCCCCCCCCCTTCCCTATTTACCTCACAAACATAACACGTGTGGCTCACAAGGGCTAGACTAGGCGATCTCAGTATACTTATTTCTAATTTTGACATATCGTTTCTTTTGTATATTATTACTCAGTTTTATGACTGACATTATATTGGGTCAAAAAGGATTAACAAATTCGATATTGTATCATCCATGATGTAAAGTTAACTTTTTCAATTAATATTTTGTTCAGTAGTAAATGTTGCATATATGATACAATTACATAATCAAATCATATTCCAAACTTAATCATACTTATAAGTAATTCTAGGTTTTAATTGCGTAAAACAATATGATTTGATTACCCAAAACAAAGGAGAAATATATTGCATTTGATAATGTCAATTTGATTAAAAGCCTAATGATCGATGCTTTTGTTTAGGCGATTACGAAGATTCGGAAAATGATAATACATCACCAATTTAGTTGTTTGGTAAATAACTATGCTTAGATGTTTGTAACACCCCTATAGATGTTTCTTTTAACAACAACTTAGAAAAACAGAAAAATATGTTAAAGTCATTCTAACGAAGGCGAAGCTATTTTGTAAATTAACCCAAAAATAAGGTGATAATATATCTCCCATATTTCAACATTCTTATGACAGACGAAAAAGATTGCAAATTAAGGCTCGTTAACGTATCGAGTTTAAAGGTGTCCAATTAAGAACAAGGGTGTTATTTTGCAAAACTTTTGGTATGCTGATAGAACTGAAGGTTTGGGTAATTAACAGATTTGCTTAACTGAGTGTTTCTCGCTACGTTGACGCCAAAGGTTATAAATTAGTGCGCGCAAATATCAATAAGTCTTAACTTATTTGCAAGCTCAAACGTCAAAACATACTCTGCCATAGAGCAGATGCGCATTTTCTAGATGATTACATTAGTAATTACTAACAAGCGTTGGTCTGAATGTAACCTCCATCAAATGGCAAATATGCATCTGAGTTCGATGAGGGAAACTTGCGTATGCAACGGATGAATTGACACCGGGCAACTGTCAAATCCGGGTGTGAAACAGATTTCACAAGATTTGTATTTAGACCGTAAATTATTTAGCAACTTTCGGGGAAAGAGTATTGCGATCTTGGAATTTTTTGTCCCCATTTTGCGCTGTTTAGAAATAGATTTTTAATTGTTATTTAAGGTTCTCCCAATGTAAATGCTTATGGTATAAATGTGACTATCCGGATGATATGATTTCCCATGGGACTATTTTAATTATTATGCATGAAGCGGAATGATATTTTAACGATTAATTGTGCACTTATGAGGGGGACTATTATTGCCGGAGCACAACTAATTGATATATCACTCCATCTTGTGTCATCATGCATATCAATAGAGGTGCAATTTACGACATCAATTTACGACATTGAGATTGGGAAAACATATAGTTAAGCTCAATTAGTATGTCAGCCTGATGTCGGCTTATTCGAGCAAACATCCTTCATATCAACTGATTTGCAGCTATCTGTGCTCCGAAAATGATCTAATAAACATGCAGAAATATCTGATTGTATCTTTTATCTTACACTATACACGTAATTTCTGTATCCGTACCTGTGAGTGAGTAAGTGGGTGAGTGAGTGAGTGAGTGAGTGAGTGAGTGAGTGAGTACCATATCTGGTACCTCGAAACTATCACTCGTGGTTAAAATACAAAGAATTGTTTTGTTTAATTTTTTACTTATCTTTTGACCTCCCATTTACAAATATTAGAAAATGAGGTAATACTTGCTTCATCAATGGGCTTTGTGTTTTATGCAGTGTTTTCGTGAGGTTTGTAATAAAACCATTCGGAAGTGTCATCGTCACATACAGTACTTTGTAAAAATGTATTTTTGTTTTATCATGAAACAAAAACTCCTTCTCGATTTTCAGCAACTTTCTGAGTATAGTAATGAGTGGGTTAGGAATGTTTAATGACTCATTATACAGGCCGAGGGACCATATCTTTTAAATATATGATACTTGAAATCAGATTTAGCAGAACGCCAAATACGCCTAATCCGTTGGCCAAAAACTCTTCCATGGAGTTTTTCAACATTTTGAGCACTTTTCAAGTGCTATATCGTGTGTGTGTGTGAATCTGGGCCATCAAGATTTTTACAGTATTGGAT